TCTTATTAGGCTGTTTTGTTCTTGTTTAAGACATCTTTTTCTACTTCAAGGTAACAAATATATTGTCCTATATTTTTTCAAATCGTATCACTGTCATTCACATTTAGGTCTTTACTGCATTTGGAGTCCATTTTTGTATGTAACGGAAGGATCCTGCTCTATTTTTGTCCACAGAGTGAACCAGTGTTCACAGTGCTATGACAGTAAACTTAGTCTGTTCTATCCCCTTTGCTGTACAGTGCCACCTTTATCATATGTGAGGCCCCTGCACAAACCTGTGCAAGTTGGAGCTCTGTCCTGTTCTATTGCTCACTTATTTGTACCTGCACCTGTGCTAGACTGTTTTTGTTATTTTTACTTGGTAGCATATCATAATATCTGGTAAGGCAAGTCTGTGTGTGTGTGTGTGTGTGTATGTGTGTGTGTGTGTGTCCAAATTTACTTAGCTCCTTATGGAATCGTATTCTTCCTTATGCATTCATGATTTCTTCTTGAATGGCAATCCAAATGTCAGGCCAAAGAGGCCCCAAATACAGTTGTCCTCCCTTCATGTCCTCAAGATCCCAGACAAGTTAAGGTGAGACTTCTAGGGCCAAATACACCCTATTACATTTGATTCTTCCCCAATCCCTCTATTAGAATGAAGTTTAATATGCTAGTTGATAATGATATGTTACTGTTACACCTTTGCTGATTTCAAATGCAGTATTTTGTTTTATAGTTTTAGTATTTTCTTTTTAACTTTTTCAACTTTGTATTTTGAAAAAGTTTTAAACACAGAAATTTAACAAGAAAAACACTGAACAATTTTTTATCCTTTCTCACATAGATTCAACAATTGTTAATCTTTTACATATTTTATTTTATTGCTAGATAATTTGAAAGCAAATCGTAGATATGCTCCTTTACTCCTATTTTAGCATGTATCTCCTAAGAACAAGGACATTCACTTATATAACCAGAATACAATTGATCACATTCAGGACATTTAATATTGATGTGATATTATTATCTAATAAACCATCACATTCAAACTTTCCAGTTGTCCAAGTAATTGCCTTTTTAGCACACATCCCAACCCTGCCCACCCTCCTCAACCCAGGATCACCCAGTGCGTATGGAAGTCATCTCTCTAGTAGTCTCCTCTCACCTGGAATGATTCCTCAGCTTCTCTTTGTCTTTCGTGCACTGACATTTTTGAGTACAGGCTATTTGTTTTATATAATGTCTCTCAGTTTGCATTTCTCTGATTGTTTCCTCATGATTAGATTCAAGCTATGTGTTTTTGACAGGAGTGTTTCTCTTTTAAATAAAGAGGAGAAACCAAAGAATAGAATAAACTCGTTTATTAATTTCAAAGTAGTATTGGATATTTATTTGATGAGGAAAAACTCTTAAAGTTCCAAATCTAAGAAACACGTATGCTTACATTTTAGAATATTATCACATATATCTCTCAAAGATTTAGCCATAATTTTTGGCTAAATTTCACTAAATGGCATTTGATTCCCAGAAAGCTAAATCTATACTATTTTTCTAATATTTACATTAAAAACATTTGAGTAACTACCATGTTTAGCATATGACAATAGGCCCAAGACCCTGTTCTGTTATATATCAAACACTGCTAGTCAATCACAAATATAGACAAACAAGGTTTTAAGATGATATCTCTAGAAATCTTGTCAATAAATGATTAGGGCTTGACAGGGATGGAATTGTAAACTCATGAAAGGTAACAAAGGCCTAAATATTACAGAATATATCTAAAAAGTGGTTAAGTGCTTTCATTCATAGCTGTGGAGTCTGTTTTAACTTCACATTGCTGCTAGAGCGTCTTTAGCAGATCACTGCTCCCTAATAAGTACTGGGCTTTCATTTGTCTTCACTGTCCCCCTTGTGCCAGGAAACCAGTCCTTTCTGCCACCCCGGTCAACTCTGCTCACCAAATTCCTGCCTGTCTTTCAAAGTCCAACCCCAGAGACACCTCCCTCCTTTCAGAGCCTTTCCAAGCCCTCCCACCATGTTGCATGCTCATCTCTCTTAACAAATTGGGATCCATCATAAAAGGTTCTGTTTCTTTATTGGACATCTTTTTTTTTTCCCCAATTTTTTTGTATTGTGGTAAAATACATATAAAATTTACCATCTTAACCATTGTGAAGTGTGCAGTTCAGTGCATTAAACATATTCATAATATTGTGCTCTCATCACCACCATTCATCTCCAGAACTCTTTCACTTGTAAAACTGAAACTCTGTACCCATTAAAAAATTACTACCCTCGGCAATCACCATTCTACTTCCTGTCTCTAAGATTTTGACTAGTATAAGTTCCTCATATAAGTAGAATCATATATACAGTTTTTGTCTTTTTGTGACTGACTTATTTCACTTAGCACGAGTCCTCAAAGTTCAGCATGTTTTAGCATATTGTAGAATTTCCATGTTGAATAATAGTCCATTGTATGTATAGACCACATTTTGCTTATTCATTCATCCATAAATGGACATTTAAGTCGTATCCACGTTTCAGCTGTCATGCATAGTGTTACTATGAATGTGGATGTACAAATATCTCTTCAAGATCCTGCTTTCAATTCTTTTGGGTCTATATCCAGAAGTTGGATTTCTGGATCATATGGTAATACTGTTTTTAATTGTTTGAGGAACTGCCAAACTGTTTTTCCACAACAGCTGTACCATTATATAGTCCTACTAACAGTGCATAGGGGTTCCAATTTCTCCACATTTTCACCAACACTTGTTATTTTCTGTTTATTTTTTTGATAACAGCCATCCTATCTGGTGTGAGGTGGTATCTCATTGTAGCTATAATTTGCATTTCCCTAATTATTAATGCTAGTGAGCATCTTTTCATGTGCTTATTGGTCATTCATATATCTCCTTTAGATTAACTTCCTTGGTTATGTTAATTTCTAAGTATTTTATTATTATATTTATGCTATTGTAAATTAAATTGTTTTAATTTCCTTTTTAAGTTATTCATTGTTAGTGTATAGAAATGCAACTGCTTTTTGCATGCTGACTTGTTATCCTGCTACTTTGCTGAATTGATTTATTAGTTCTAACAGTTTTTAATGGAATCTTTAGAGTGTTCTACATATGAAATCATATCATCTATGAATAGAGATAATTTTACTTCTTCCTTTCCAATTTGTATGCCTTTTATTTCTTTTTGCTCTGGCTAGAACTTCCAGTACTATGTTGAATAGAAGTGGCAAACATGGGCATCCTCACCTTATTTCTGATCTTAGAAGAAAAGCTTTCTCTACTAAGTATGACGTTTGCTATGGGTTTTTCATATATAGTTTTTACTGAGTTTCCTTCTTTTCCCAGTTCATTGAGTGTTTTCCTCATGAGTGTTGGATTTTGTCAAATCCTTTTTCTGCATCAAATGAGATTATCTTATGGTTCTTTTCCTTCATTCTGTAATGTGGTGTATTATATAAATCAATTCTTGTATGTTGAATCATCTTTGCATTCTGGGAATAAATCCCACTTGGTCATTGTGTATAATCCCTTTGATATGCTGCTAAATTCAGTTTGCTAGTATTTTGTTGAGGATTCTTGCATCATTGTTTATAAGGAATAGTGGTCTGTTGTTTTCTTGTAGTGTCTTTGCATGGCTTTGATATCAGGGTAATGCTGGCCTCCTAGAAGGAGTCAGGAAATGTTCCCTTCTCTTTTTGGAAACATTTGACAAAGATTGATATTAGTTCTTCTTTAAAAGTTTGGTAGAATTTGCAAGTGAAGCCATTGAGTCCAGGGCTTTTCTTTGTCAAGAGATTTTTGGTTATTGATTCAATCTCTTGAGTAGTCATAAGTATATGCAAATTTTCTGTTTCTTCATGATTTCATCTTGGTATGTCCAGTGTTTCCATAAATTTATCCATATAGCTATGATATCAAATTTGTTGACATATTCATAGCACTCTCACAATCTTACTTCTGTAGAATCAGTAGTAATCTCCCACTTTTATTTCTGAATTTTTTTCTATTTCATTTCTCTGCTATAATCTTTATTATTTCCTTCCTTCTGCTAACTATGAATTTAGTTTGTTCTTTTTCTAGTTCCTTAAGTTGTAAAGTTAGGTTACTAATTTGAGATTTTTAAAAAAAAAAATGTGTTTATAGCTATAAATTTCCCCCTTAACACTAATTTTACTGCATCCTATAAGTTTCGATATGTTGTGTTTTGCTTACATTCAACTCTAAGTATTTTCTAATTTCCTTTGTGATTTATTTGATCCATTCGTTGGTTAAGAGCATGTTTAATTTCCACAGATTTATGAATTTTCCTGTTTTACTTGTTATTGATTTCTAACTTTATCTCATTGTGGTTAGAGCAAATATATATCTATCTTTTTAAATCTATCGAGACCCTTCTGTGGCCTAACATATGGTCTATCCTGGAAAATGTCCCTTGTGCACATAAGAATACGCATGATGCTGTTGTTCTACATGTGTCTGGTGGATCTAGTTGGTTCAATTTGTTGTTTAAGTCCTCTATTTCCTTACTTATCATCCAACTATTATTGTAGAACTGTATTTCTCCCTTCGATTCTGTCGATTTTTGCTCCATATACTTTGATGGTGTGTTATTACCTGGTAAACATTTACGGTTGCTTCAGTATCTTTATCTTTTGGAGAACACTAGCAGTGTTTGGACTTCAGTAATTATTTCTTTAAGCCATTAATAATCAATTAAAGTTTTTGATAACTAGCATGATAGAAGAGACTAAGTAGATAAGTTCTATTATTTTCTGAAAGTAATATCCGGTAAATTTATAAAATTTATCAGATAAAACATAAAATCTGGTAAATTCCTTTTTAAAAAGACTTTCAAAGAATCTACAGAACTTGTGACCCCTCCCACAGAGAAAATGTAAACACTGAAAGGTAGGAGGTGATTTCACTTTATATTCTTGGCATCATCACCATGACATTTCATTAAAACAAACATTGCCATAAAATTAGTTGAAGTTACTGCTGTATTCACTAGTTTCTATTTCCCCACTAGGCAATCAAGTTGAAGAAATGCTTCTAGTACTTACAGTGCAAACTATATTTATTCAGCTGTTCCAATGGGATTTTCTCTTAGTAAATCTGCTACTCGCATCTGCTATATGTATGGATTCAAAAGTGGATGACCACTTAATGCAAGGAACTGAGAAAAACAAGTTAGAACCAGTAACTTGGTTATTTCAAAACACCAAGAAAATAAGATCAGAAAACATAAACCAAGAAAACTTTGCAAGTAAAGAGACTGACACAGGATCTCTTTCAGAAAAAATTTTGGGTTGAGTGGTTTATGTTACAGAAAGTGATGGAATCAAAATGACAGATGTGGAATGAAGTTATTTATACAAATTACCAAAAAAGCCACAAATTACTTTTGTCTAAGAGGGCATGTGTTGAATGAGAACTTAACCTTACTGAGAAAACCTAACAGAATGAAGGAAGATGACTGCTTTTTTTTTCACTGTTTATGAATCACCTTAGACTGCATTTTTTGATAATACATATTGAAAAGTTGCTTTAGGGAGGAAAAGCTTTTCAAAATTCAAAGCAGGTTTCTCTGTTATTACATTCTATCCTATTCAAAATCAGAATTTTTGAGTAACAGTATTTAAATGGCACCAAAACATATTAATTAAAATGTATTTATTTAACAAGTGGTCAAAAAATATAAAACGGTGCCCAATTTGACATCAGTATGTCACACTATTTCTGGTGTACCAATTTTCTATGTTATAATTCCAGTTTGAGATTTTGCTTTAGGGGACTTTATCTTCCTTCCTGTTTAGTAAAAGTTCACTGCAAGTAGACTCTGTTAAAGACCAGCAAATTGTATACTTTGAGAAGCAGTTCATATTTCAAATTATCTTTTCAAAACTGTTATTTTTCCTCTATGTTGAATTAATTTGTTACAAAATAGTTATTTCCAAGTGTAATAGTTTATTTTGCCGATGCTACCATTTTATACCATCAATATTTCATAAGAAAATAGACTAGTACTAAATACCATTCTTATTGAAGCTTGAAACAGCACTGTTGTCCCAAGTAATGTTAGATGAAATTAAAACCATTTTGTGTCTGGACATAGCTTGAAACAGCACTGTTGTCCCAAGTAATGTTAGATGAAATTAAAACCATTTTGTGTCTGGACATAGCTTGAAACAGCACTGTTGTCCCAAGTAATGTTAGATGAAATTAAAACCATTTTGTGTCTGGACATAGAATGGCCTGTAACAACTTATATTATGTATGTTTTGAACATTTTTCTGTACTTTAATATATAATGACTATCCCTACTGCCCAATTGAGTTATCTCCTTAATATTCATAAAAACAAAGAAGAAAATTCATCTTCTTTTAGGAGAAGCAATATTTTATAAATTGAAACAGTACTAAACAAATATATTTGTAGGGGAATATTGAGTCTAGAGTAAAAATACTGAATGAGAAATAAGCCAATAAGATGATGTTTATCATTTATAAAACATAATTCTATGGGAGAGAAAACACAGACAAATCATTCATTTGTTCACCTAGCCTGACACCGTGCTTGGTGCTGGGGATATAGTGGTGAGTAAAAGAGCTACTACCTTACAATGCTTGCTGTTTGTCTACCAGGGAAGACACATAAGGTACAAATTGTGATGTGCCATGAGGAAAAAGTAAAATGTTCAGAAACAGAAGAGGAGACATAAACTTGATTTTTAATAGTGGGAACTAGAAAGGCTTCTCTGAGGACATGACATATATAACTTTTGCAGTGACATGGTTGTCCAAGTAAGATGATGGTGATGGCTGAGGTGTTGAGAAGGGGACAGATTCCAGGTGAAATCTGGCAGGACATAGTGATGGTCTGAAAGTGGCACCTGAGGAAAAAGCATTTCTAGCAAAAAAAATGGCTAGCTGCATGGAGGCTCCCACGGGGAAAGGTGAGCTCAGGAGCATGGTTTTTGGACATATCAGATTTCCAAGGCAAGTAGACAGTTGTATGTATAGAACTAAAAATATAAATTTTGAAGTCGTATACAGTAATGGTATTTAAAGCCATGGGAATGGGTGAGATTGCTTAAGGCGGATGTGTAGTTTGAGATAAAGTCCTGAGGAACTCCATAGCTTAGGAGCTGGTCAGCGCAGGGGGAGCTGGCAAAGGGGACTGAGAGTTGGCAGTGAGGCTGGCTGAAAACGAAGACAAGATAACGTCAAGATTGTCCACAGGAGTCTTTAAGGTAGAGGTCGTCAGCTGAAAGGTTAGATGAGAACTGAAAGGTCCTTGGATCTAGCAACATAAATGTCACCAATGACCTCAGCAAAACCACTTTTTTAAAAACAGGGCCTTGGCTCGGATATTTACAAACTTGTTTTTCACCTCCAAGAAAGTCCAAGTGGACATCTGATAGTTATGTTGGATGCTGAATTTGGAATGATCCTTCGTTGTGTGTGATGCTCCATGCACTGCAGGATGTCAAATGTAGTAGCACATCCTAGTCATTGAGACAATAAAAAGTGCAAACATTAATTACCCACTGCTGCTAAGACATCAGAAAATCTGGATCCCCAAATCCCATGTAGGCCATAGATTAAGCAGCACACCTGGGAAGGGAAATCCACAAAGACTTCCTGGAAAGGCTAGAATAGAGCAAGTTTAATCAAGACAGCAGCCTCACTTAGGTATTTGTTTTGGGGGAGAATTCTACAAGTGGAATCCTAAAGTGAGCACTTTTCAGCATTCTGTTGTTTCTGATAAGAAAGTAAATAGAAAGTAATAGAAAGTAAATATAAAAATAATGTAGTTCAGCAGAAATAAGGATGGTAGGCAACTTTAAATTCAACAAATCCATATAAGGATATCAGATCTATAATACATGTGTTGGTGTTATATCTAATGATGCTGTTATTGATGCTAGTAACAATAGCTACCATTTATTCAGCTGGCATGTGACTGTCTTGGTTGAGATCGCCTAGAAGCTGCATGTTACTTTTGGGGAAAAGTCAGTAAAGGGGTGAGGAAAGTAAGGAAGCAGAAAAAGTCAGCTAAGGAAGAGGACGCAGATGAATTCTTGCCCTGATCCACAAGGTGTTCTGCAGGGTTCACACCGCAAAGTTGTCCCACTGTCCACTTTGAGATGAGAGGACTATTGTACTCTTATACCAGTTGGGCACTGGTTGCCAACCACCAAGCCAAAGTGGGTGGGGACAGGGAGGTAGCAGGAATCACTCAGGTGTCTGGGGATGACAGCTCCCACATTCAGCAGCTGGAGAACGGATGCATGGATTAAGGGTAAAGGGGGCCAGGGTAAGGGTACTAACAGCCTTTATGACAATGCCAGACACCTAACATATTATTTTCATTTTATTTTGAAACCATTTCAAAGTTACAGGAAAGGTGAAAGTATAGTACTAAGACCCTTCCCTCCCCACCAACCATTTGAGAGAAAGTAGCTGACCTAATTCTGTCACCCCTGAACACTTTTAAAATATGCTTTAAATTTCATTTTTATTTTGTGAGATATTATTGACATATGACTTGTATTAGTTTTAGATGTATAACATCATGATTTTATTTTTGTATATATTGCAAAACAATTACAGTAAGTTTAATTAACATCCATCACCACACAGTTACCAATTTTTTTCTTATGAGAACTTTTAAGATCTACTCTCTTAGCAACTTTCAAATATACAATACAGTATTGTTAACTACAGTCACCATGCTGTGCATGACATGACATCCCAGGACTGATCTGTCTTATATCTGGGAGTTTGTACCTTCTGACCACCTTCACCCATTTCACCCACACACCAAAAAGTACTTTTGATGGAATAATGGGGATAGAAACCATGTTGGAGCAGGTTGAAAAATGACTGGGAAGTAAGAGGGTACAAGCAAGATGTGTAGCAACTCCTTGAAGCAGCTCCGCTCTGAAAGGGAATAGACAGGATGAAAGGTAGAAAGAAGGTTCCAGTGGAGAAACTGAAGTAGGAAAGGGGGTAAGAATCATTGAAGGAGGTGGACTGTACCATCTCACATTTCAGGCAAATGGAATTTAGAAAGAGGGCAACAGTGCTGTTTTTAATAACTAGGGAAATCCCTACTGGGACTTACTCAACAGAATCCATTCCCATCTATATAATAAAGAAAGACTAACTCAGAGTGACTTCATTCAGAAGGGTAATAGATGCATGAGGAGCCATTGTATCTTTGTCGCAGCTTTATGTGCAGCCCTGGTCATTTATCGTATCAGCATCTCCAAGTAGTGAACACTGGATGTTTCTTTCTGCCAGACGCAATCTCTTTCTATTCTGCCTGAAGGAGAGACTGATTTCCATGGAAGGCTGAAAAAAGAGAACTGCACCTTCTTTGGGCTCCTCTCATCAAGAGGTGGGGTCTGTTACTCCACCCCTGGACTCTAGGCTGGCTTTGCTGTTGCTTTGGCAGCTAGAATGTGACTGAAGCGCTACTTCCAAGGCCAGGCCTGAACTGAGGTGCTCCAGCAGCCAGCCAGCACCAGCTGTGAATGAGGCCATCCTGGACCTCCTCACCCAGCCAACCTTTGCAGACTGAAGCCCCACGAGTTAGCCCAGGTGAAACCGGCTAAGGAATCACCCAACCTGCCCATATGCATGTTAGAAATAACAAATCGTTTTAAGCCACTAGTGTTTGAGGCAGTTTGTTACGCAGCAATAGTTAACTGAAACTGGCTTGCTGGGGAACTGCTCATCTGGCTGAGCCGCAATGGCTGAGACACAAGTGCAACGAGGGACACCTCAAATGGGAACGTTCGTTCCCCTCCGTGTGTGTGTGTGCTTGCTGACCTACTCCTTCCTGTTACCATCTCTGTATGGGGAATACCAGCGTTTATTCCTTTAAATGAGATTTGTCTTTTAAAACTGATTTGAGTTCCCTCCCCTCCCAAGTGGCGTTTCCTGCTCTTTAGACTGTGAGAAGACAGGTGAAGACACGGAACGTTCAGTTACAGTACCTCTTGGCACTGGGGCCTGGCGTGTGAGCCGACTGCCCGGGTTTTGGACGGACTCCTCCAGGCGCGCTGCACAAAGTGCCCCCTCCAGCCTGACACGGCCGCCCCTCCTACCTTCGCCCCGGTGACCGTTAGCTCTTGCTGTCATGCGGGGAGCGTCCATCTGAACTGGGGTCTCTAGGACTTTCAGTTGTGCCCTGCGTCCCTGCTTCTAATCTCATTTAGCCTTGGCTCCGCCGCTCCCAAAGACCTTTAGGCCTCCGCGGGCGCCCCCGCCCCGCCAGAGCCTCGCTGGGAAGAGCGAGACCCCCCCTCCTCGTGACACTTCCGGGGCGGTGCCGAAAGAGGCAGCTGCGCGCGCAGCCTGCCAGGTCCCAGGTCCTGTACGTCCTTATCTCGCACTGACACGCGCGCGGCAGTCGTCGCGACCGGAAGCAGCAGGTGAGTGAAGCCAGTCGCGGGCTGCGGGCTGGGGCAGACGGGGACCGGGGATCTGGGACCCCCCAGGCCAGGCTCCGCGCTCTGGCTGGCGCTGGAGGCGCCGCAGTTTGCACTCAGCGTTAGGGACGACCCAGCTGCAAGGTTGGGAACAGTTTTTCCCCGACACTGGAGGGTAAAAATTAAAACGTGTTGGGTGCCAGCTGTGTGTGCGCCCACAGGGAGCTGAAAATACCAAATAAAACGTACACACGACGGTCAAGAGATTCTGGGTTAAGTGACGCAACTGTCGGAGGTGGCAAAATAATTCGATAATGTTTTCTAAAGGAGGTGGGCCTGCCTAGGTGGATAGGTGGGATTGTTGTTATTTTGCTTTCTGTTGAGTGATGAAGAAGCATGTTTGGCAGTGCCGAGTGGTGGTAGTGAAATGTGCCCTAGGACATGGAAATAATATTGTCTTCTAAGGAAAGTCTATAAAATGTATCATTACAAGATGAGAGTAGAGATATGCAAAGTTCGTTTAAACAAAATTTTACCAGGGCTTCAAGACTTGACTGTATCTTGACAACGAAACAGAGACTGTCATTCAGCTGGAGGTCCCATCTGTCTCTGAAGCATGGAATCACGGAGAGGTGCACCTGTCTAGGATGAATCCAAGCCTCCTCTAGGAGAGAGGATGCCCTGGTGTCAACAGCAGGATCTCTCCAGAGCCCAGGAGTTGAGGTTTCCTCAGGGCTCATCCCATCAGACATTGAAATTGTATAACTCAGTCCTTTCATTGGGATTCTGTATTCACCAAGCAAACTTAGGATAAGTTGGACAGGCTGATCTGAAAAGCTGGTTAAGAGCCTGCAGTTCTTTGTAAACTGATAAATTGGCATTCAGGTTTTTTTCAGACATCCCTTTGTTTCCACTTTTTATCTCGCTGTGGTTCTTCTCATCCTTCAGGGCTCAATTGAAATGTTACATCTTCAGGGGCCTATTTGTTTATGTGTTCGGGTGCCTAGAACAGTTTGTCACAGAGTGGGCACTCAAGCTAACTCCCTCAGCTCTCTATCTTTGCTCACCTTTTTAGGGAAACCTAGCCTGACAACCCTATTTAAAACTGCAGCCTAGTTCCTCTTACATATCCATTTCCAGTCTTCCTTTCTAAGCTCTACTTTTTCTTTTTCTCTTTTTCTTTTTCCTATAGCCCTTTATCACCTTTATTTGGTTCACTAATGAATCCCACATGCCAAGATCAATGCCTGTTGTGTAGTAGATTCAAGATTTGTCAAATTAATAACCTTTGTTGTTTTTCATTCACACTGTATACACAATGCCTGGATGAATAGAAATGCTTTCAGCACTATTAATGAGTTGAATCAATTCTGGAACCCTAAAAAGATCGCATTTTTGAGCAAAGTCAATATCTTGCACTATCATTAATCGAGGTAAATGCCACTTCAATGTATCGTTAGGAATCTTAACAGTTTCCTATTATTCCTATTAAGCTTCTGAAAGGAATACATGCCATACGACAGCAACAATGTGAGAAAAGAGATGGAAAGGCAGGAACTCTGTAACAGTTAATGTGATAGAGCACTGCATATTTGCCAGGCATGAGTGCTTAATGCATGTCAATCCATTTAATTCTCTCAACCATTCTATGAGGTAGGAACATTTTACAGATGAGTCAGTTGAAGCAACTAGAAGTTAAACTACGTGCCTAAAGTTATTCAGTTAGTAAGTGGCAGAGCCAGAATTAAAACTTAAGCTCTATAAGCAACTATAGTTAACAATCTTGTGTTGCATATTTGAAAGTTGCTGAGGGTAGATCTTAAAAGATCTCAGCAGAAGAAAAAAAAATGTATAACATTGATTTGTATTAATGAAACATTGTTATAATCATTTTCCAGTATATACATACATCTAATCATTATGTTGCACACCTTTAACTAGTACAATGTTATATATCAGTTATATATCAGAACAGGAGAAGGGGACCTTAAGCTCTTAACTGCTTTGCTATCTGCCCACACTGCATATTCGGACAAGAATCATAATCTTCACTTTAGGGTAGGGTGTGTCACAAGGTCTTTGAGAATCTCCAAATCCACAGACACCATTCAGCATATTAGCATCCACCATACCAGTTCGTTACTGTGTCTCCCTTAGATGACAATGAAGAGGATCTGGTCAAGGCACCCTCCCTTCCTACCCAAACTCTAGGTATCACCAGCACCACTTTGTCCCAGACTTGCCTTCACCAATGCTGCTCTGGTTTCCTCTCCTGATTCCTACCAGTATCTAAGCATGCTCAGTTCCTTGCATTTTAAATCCTCTAACCCCGCATTTCCTTCTGTTGTCCCTAGCTTTTCCACTTTGCAACTAGAATATACTCATTATCCCCTTTCCTCAATACATATGGCTCTTGCTAAGATCACTAATAATCTTGATCCTATCAACTCAAATAGATCATTTTCAACCTCATCTTATTTGCATTTGGTATTGTTAACCACCTTGTCTCCTTGAAGTTTAATACCATCTTTTAAAATCTCTTCCTTTTCTTCTATTCTTGGTTTCCTCTGGGAGCTCTCTCTCCTTCCTCTGCCTATCTCTTAAAGGTTTCTGCTCTTTGGGGTTCTAAGGCTCTCGTGTTCTCACTAAACCTCTCTGGATAATCTAGTCTCCATGGCCTCAGTTACCATCTGTTTAGCTCTCTGCCATTGCTGCTGGATAACCATAGACTCAAGTTCAATACAGTCAAAAGGAACTAATTATCTTCACCCCAAATCTCCTCTTCCTATGAAATGTCTTAGGAAATATCACCTCTTTCCACCCATGTCAGGTCAGAAATCAGGGCATATTAATAACAGAACTAACATATTATGTACTTTCTATGAGTCAGGCACTCTTACAAGCACTTTGCATGCATTAACTCACTTAATTCTGGTATGAGACTTGTCATTATGCAAACATTACAGATAAGGTATCTGAGGCACAGAAAAGTCAACTGATCTGCCTTAGGTCACTCAGGTGGTAAGAGACAGAGTTGGGATTTGAATGCAGGCACTCTGGCTTGAGCTTGTAATCATCATACCATAAAGGTCATGACCTTTGACCTCTCCCAACCTCATTCAACCAGTCACCAAGTTTATATACTCCATGCTTCAATCTCTAGGCGATGTCTCTGAAGTATAAAACTGACGTTCTCACTTCCTTAAAACTCTTCAGCACACCTCTTCCTTGGCCCTCAGTTAAAGTTATGTGTTTAACATGGATTTTCAGTCTCTTCATAATCTGACCTCTAATTCTGCCACCTTCTCTCTTGAAACTCCCCATTCTTGCACTCTTACGTACCGGCCACTGGAATCAAATTCTTTGAGTTTTTTCCCTCCCAAGTTGTTTCACTTTGTTGGCTTCAATGTCACTTTTACTAATGAGGTTAGATGGTCCTTTAATGAATGTACTTACCTGTCACAGCACTTATGACGTTATTTTAATTACCTTCCTTGTTTGCTTTTTACTGTCTGCCCCTAGATTGTGAGTTCCTTGAAGGCAAGGACCGGTCTGCAACCTTAATGTCTGCCTGCTGCCCTGGTTCAGGCCCTCACTATCTCTAGTTGGACAACTGCGTTGGTCTTTTAACTGGTCTCCCTGCCCCGGCCTTGCACTGGTGTTCTTTAATCTGAGCTCAACACTGCTGGCAGCAGCAGTTCAATTTAACACCTGCCTGCTTAAAACACCTCAGTACATTCCAGATGCTTTTAGCAAAAGTCTCAATTTCTTAGTCTCCTCCCCTTCTCTAGTCCCTTGCTGCCTTGTGCTTAGTAGGCACTCCATAAATATTTGTTGAGTGAGGACTGTATCAAAGTCAAACAGAAGAACAAAAAAACAATGCAAAGGAGTGAGGTCTGGCTGCGGAGGCGTCTGAGGGCAGCAGTGCCAGGCTTCAGGGTGGCTGGGAGAAGTGTAGTACAGCTGTCCCTGAGGACAGAGCCCCAAAACATGCCTTACTGTACTCGATGACTGTATTTGCACATACCTGGGATGTGCGACTCCCATCCACTTGGTAAGTGCCATCAGATTCCGAGGCCCAGTTTAAGTGTTCCTATAAAGCTCTCCTGACCTTTCCAGACAGAATATAAATCAGTTCCACTTTTCTGTAGCGTAATTTATCAAACTATATCAAGAGTGATGAAACTGTGAAACCTCTTTAACCTAGGAATTGTGCTTCTAGGACAAAAGAGAATTTGGTCTAGTTATGGATTTTGGCAACCCATTCTATTCCAGTTCTTTAACTTAAAGGAAAATTATGACCATCCTAAAAAATACAATTGGAATAGAATGGTTTCTTTATGACCATACCTAGTCAAAATACTTCATTAGTGTAGCTAGTATTTTCAGCCTTTTGCCACCTAATATTCATCAGCACTGCTAACAAAAATAATGTGTAAAGTATCCAAATATAATAAAATTGTTCCTAGCCTTTCCATATAACCTACTGACTGCCTCTTT